GATATTCTCCAAAATGGCACCAGGGTGACGCGGAGGAGACGAATTGTTGAATAAAGTCTTTTTTTTTCTTTTTTTTTCGCACAAAAAGTATTCTCGTAGCTTCGTAAAAATTACGGTTGAACCCCTGATGTCACATGGATTATTTTACAGATCTCCTTGCTATGTTTCTGGACTTGGGAACATTTCAGTTGTATTGCTGTCTAGGGTCAGACACCTCTTAGATTCCATCAAAAATATCTTAATTTGTGTTCCAAAGATGAACGAAGGTCTTATGTGTTTGAAACGACATGAGGGTGAGTAATTAATGACAGAATTTCCATTTTTGGGTGAACTAACCCTTTAAATAAGTTCATTTACTAAAACTGAAATAAAAATGTTTATTTCAGTTAGTTTCCAAGGCAACATTTCTAATTTTCAAAAAAAAAAAAAAGATAAATGATTTTTAATAGTTCGTTTTAGTTAACAGTAACAACACTGACACAAAAATATACCCAACATATTTTTTTCTCTCACTGAATGAGCCATTTATAATGACTAAGGGATAGTTCCATATTTTTGGGTGAACTATCCCTTTAATGTAATCAATCAATAAGTGCTGTGTACTTATTGATTGTAACTGTAACTCTCTTTTTCCCTTGTTTCCTGCAGTCTGGCTGATGAGCTAATGGCTGAGACTCTGGCTGATGTGGCGGCAGAGTTCCAGGATGTTTGTGAAGAGTATGCGGAAGCTGTTTTCACTTCAGAGTTCCTCCAGCCTGTCCAGTCTCCCACCACGTCAATGTCATAGAGACTCCTTATAAACAACTAAGAAGCAATGACATTTTGATATGTTTTTGGAACTGAACATCGTCATATCTAGGTTTATATTTTTGTATGTTTTCCCATGTATTACGTTTAAATATTGGACTTTACAATCACTGAATAGAACCTGCTGGTTACAGCACGGTTTATACTCAGACGGGCATTTCTGTTGTAATGTGAAACCTCAGTGGGCGGTCTGACTTTTAAATGCAAACAGATGCTTTTTAGCACACGGCTAACAAATGTCACATTAATGTGTCATAATCCATACAACTTTCTTTGTGCATTAGTCAATGCATTAGTTGACTTTTGCGGTTGCTATTCAGCATAGACAAAAGCCTTAAAAGAACCTCTACATTATTAATGCATTGCAAATGATAAGATTTTTGCTGTTTTCTATAAATACCTCACACTAGAGGTTCACACGCTTCCTTCCTCTTGAATGAGCATTAAGGGATGCAGTGATGCTGTCCACGTCAGAACACAAACTTGTTACTTTGTGGACTGATTTCATATACTCTATATGTTTTGTTTATCTGTGCTAATTGTCTTTAAGTTCACTAAGCATCCATATGTTGCCCAGCGTGATTGGACAGGTGAGGTATATTTAGAGTATGTGTATAGTTTATATGTCAGAGCCTGAGGGGAAAATGGCCTCCAGATGGGTCCAGATGTTGTGCTGGTATGCTGGGAATGTGCTTGGACAGGACAACCAGGGCCTAAGCACTGTAGAATTTACAAGCATTCTTTAGGCTCTGTGTGTTGAAACGTACACGCCAACAGCTCTTATATAACTAAATAAAGCTATAATAATCAGAAAGTGCATAGTTTAGACATATTTAGGAATATAAAATGAGGGTCTGTGTCTTTTAAGGGCTTTATATGGCTTTGAAAGTATTGGTTGTCCCTTTATTGCTTAATTCTAATGCAGTGAGCAGATTTTAGGGTACGTTTCTTAACCTGTCAAGTTGTAGTTTAACCCCCCAGATGTGAGTCACAGGTTTCTTCCCAGTGTTCAGCAACCTACTTATTTGTGAAAAGTGCCAAAAGCAAACTAATAGCACAAGTAACTGCATTTGCCAGCATATTCTAGGCTTTATGCCATGAACTATTATGAATGCTGTGATGCTACAGGAATATAGTCACCAATTTGGCATGAACTTGTTCTTGGTTGTGTTTTTATTGCTGGTGAAAGATACCTGTTGAATTTGCATTGTATTTATAATCATGATTTAATTTATAATGAAAATAAATGTTTTAAAATGGCGCTTCCAGGCATCTCCTTTGCCTTGGCATATTTTACTCAGTGCCCTTGATGAAATTGCTTTTTTTTTTTAAAGAAAAATTAGATTAATATTATCCATTTTTTCCTGCGTCCAGCCAGTGTAATCAATGTTATCTATATTTTTGTTTGTCTGACCTGCAGGCTGTTCTGCTGCTGCTTTTACCAGAAACACAATGCAATGTTTGGAATGTTTGGAGTCAGAAGTGTTTTGTCATTGGGTTTCCTGACTGCTACAAATAGGTCAAGTCCCTAAAGGAGTGGAGTAAAGCAACATGGGCAGTTCCCTAGAATTGAAGAACTCCAGACTTCACCTCTATCAATAGTCATTTAGAACTACTCGAGAACAGTTATTTGGGATACCTGATGTGCAGCAATGCCATACATTAGCCTGGGGTGAGAGCTGGATATAACTTGTGGCTTGGTTTTTCATGCAACACAGAACACTTACCATAAAGACAATGAGCTGTTAAACATGTTTGTGGAAAGTGCAACATATTTGGCCTTGATTTTGTCATTTTGTCTTCCAATTACTGTTTGACAGCTACCACGAGAATCATATTTTATAGTCATTACAACCCAACATTAATCAGCTGAACTGCTGTTGGATTTACTGTGACGGAGTATTTAAAAGCCCGAGGAGGAATCACGACATGGTGATTTATGAAGAAGCCAACATTTTGCACAGTCATCTTACTATAGGACTACAGTGATATACTGCCATTGGCAGGGCGAAGATATTTATATTTCTGTTTTCAACTGCACAATGCCTTTTGCACTTCTGCTTTCACAATAAAGATATTCAGTTTGCCTACAGGCATGTATGGACAGCGCATGTGGTCCCTCAGCTATGCAACTGTTGTTTGTATCACAATGACGATTGAATGAAAGCTATACTGTAGGCCAAATTTTGAAGCATTTTAGTGATTTTTAAGCTAATTGTCAATGTTGTTTGGCCCTTGTTGAAAGTTTCCTTGTGGTTTCTTTTTGCAACAGTTTCAGCTATGATCTCAGAGGGGTTTTGAATCATTCTTCAATTGCGGTGACATTCTGTCACTCACTTTTAGATACCAAACGAAAACAACCAAACTGCAACACGCACAACTCCTATAAGAAACCAAACCTATTCCAACACATTTTAACAGTATGTGGAATGATAAAAAAGTGTGTGTGTGTATGTATGTATATATATATATATATATATGTGTGTGTGTGTGGGTTGATGGGAGATAATGAACAAACGATAAACGATTACGTGCTGATCTCGCGTTTCCCGCCTCAGCCTCGTTTTCGTTCCAAAATGGCGCATTGCCTGTAATAAGCACCCCTGTTGAAAAAAAACAGCATATGCTGGTTAGGTATGTTTTGAAGCTGGGATGCTGGTTCAAGCTGCTTCTTTGCTGGTTTATGACGGTCCTTTGCTGGTTTATGCTGGTCCCTTGCTGGATTAAGCTGGTCATGTGCTGGTCCGACCAGTTTAAAACCAGCATAAACCAGCAAAGGACCAGCTTAAACCAGCTCAAACCAGCATCCCAGCTTCAAAACATACCTAACCAGCATATGGTTTTTTCAACAGGGACAATAGTTTATTTTTACGTATTTTTTGTTGTATTAGTTGGCTTGCCTAACTTAAGTAACACCATGTTCGATAAAATTACGGAAATGAAATGGCTAAGCATGGCTAAAATATCAAAACTAACTTCGTGTTGATTCTCCCATGTACGCTGTCAATCATTTTTTATGTACTGGGCGTCCTTTTGATTTCCTTATTATACCGTTTTATGTAAATACATACATTTGCAGTATACACGTATTTCTTTTTAATATAAAAAACCGACCTCAATACACTGCAGGAATTATTTTATTTATTACTTATCAGCGTTTGTTTAGTGCCATGTATCTGCGTAGCATCATTAAGGAGGCGCTAGTGTAATATTATTATTTCAAGTACATAAAGGAATAAATAACTAATATATGACGGAGGGTGGTCTGAAGCCTGCATTAATGCGCTTGGCGTTTTCCAAGTTCACTGCAGCTCGCGCAGAACCACTGGAGGCAGCCGAGCATCACACCTCGAGCTCAACAGGAGGAGAGGAGGACAGCAGCAAAGTATGCACACATACAAACAGCCCCAAGTCCGCGCTTACTTCAACACAAGGATCTCTCAGCGTTCATGGATACTCCAACCTTTGCATGTCATTTCCACGGCAGCTTCAAACATGAATCGCGCATAGACTTGAAATCGCTTCTCCCGCGCGCAGACAAGGATAGAGAAAAGAGACGCGTGTACTGTCCAAACTAAACTGCAAAGACGCAGGATGGCTAAAGAGATCAGAGGGAAAGGTAAGAAGAGACGTCTGTGTGTTAATCTGTATGTGATGTGACATCTCCGGAATTGACGTGCTAGCTGCGGAATCAAAGCAGAAAGAGTAGACAGGCAGCTTGCTCCCTTCACTTTCCGCGTCAATCTGTAGTGTTGGAATGCGTGATGAACCAGGGCTGTGTCTCAAAACCTAGTGAGCTAAACATCGTTTTGGGGCGTCACGGACGCATTACAGTGCTTATGACGCCCAAATGCAGTCCCGTTCACTTGGTTTTGCTAGCTTTTGCTTCACCTTAACATGCTCTCTTTACAAAGTGGTCTTAATATTAAATGTAGAATGTTTAATGGAACTAGGGCAGGAGTTGTCATCCATATCTGACCCAGGGATCCCCTACACAGACTCGCAGGCAATCCAGGGAACGCTAATACAAAAATATATCCAATAACTGATAAAAAGAATCAGTTGTTATTATTTTATTATATTATTATTTTATTTTTTTACAAAATAATGAGACTATTAATAATTAAATAATAAATACTATTTATGCTTATTTACATTATTATTGTTGTTAATACAATTGATGCAGAAAATATTTTCCTTGTTTAACTGGTAAGCTTAAAATGCCGAGTTTCTGGCTTGAAAAGGAGTATCTTTTGATTTAAGCAAAAGGTAGATATAAGTGTTATGTTGGGTGCTATTCATTAGAGACGCACTGATTTATCAACATACCTGATGTTAAAGAACCATTTAAGTGGAACAGCTGAATATAATAATAATAATAATAAGAAGAAGAATTGTAAAAAAAATGGTTAAATGCTTTATTGATCCATTTTGTTTCATATTTCAGTCCATAGACCCCCTGCAGTAACTTTATGGACCCCCCACTAGATAGGCTAATATATTGTAAGGAACAAGAAATAAGCTTAAAAGGAAATTTGTACATAGCCAATGTTGTGATTAATAATGATAGCTATAAATTGCATCTGAATGTTTGTTTCTTCCAGATGGTGGTAGATTATGACTGTACATTTGATTCATCTTTGACATAATTTATTTAGAGCCCAGCTGCTGATCCATTGTGATGACCCATTGGTCAGTTTTTTTTCTCCACCAATATGCTTTAATTTGAATAAACAGTATCAATTGTGAATTTCAAACACTTAAAATGCGACAAAATGTGGTTTTCAAATACCCATTAGCAACTCATAATGCATGTTCCGCATGAAGAGTCAGTTGGAGATGTTTGTTTTGTCCCTGTGTGCATCCTGTGTCGTATGCACTCCTTATTCTGTTTTTGCTTAAAGGTGAATTGGCCAGTGACATGAATTGTATCAGAAGTTTGTGGTCAGTTTTGGTCAGAGATGGTCTCTCTTCAAGATGTATATCCAGTAGGACACTCTGATATGATTGAGTGCTGAGTGTCTGCACTGAACATCTCAGCATACATAGATACAGTTTAATCTGTTTATGGCAGTCACAGTATGTTTGTAGCTTACGATCATGAGTGTTTTCTTCAGCTTTAAGTGGTTTGCTATGAAGTGAAGCTCACAGCATGTGTCATCTGGGTTTTGAATGTGAAGCTCTATATGAAGTTCTCTGGGTTATTGTTGTATTTCATGTAAGTATAACAGTTTCCATACGTTGGACAGCGGTAACGACTGCAGACTGTTAATAAGCTGCCATAGGCAATTTTAATTTCTCCTCAGGCATATTTCCAAATCAGCCAAGAAGTTCTCCTCTCTCTGTCATGTAGGAAGTCAGTATTTGATTTTGTAGGTGGAAATGTGTTATCCTACAGACCTTTGGTTTGGTTACGTAATTTACCACAATGTTATCACCTAGTTGGTGAATCAGTGCTGATGAGGATAGGATGGTGGGATGGATGAACATCATATTGGCATATTATATCAAACAGCTCACTGTATTGAACAAGCAGAACTTGTACAGATATGTAATCAGTGGAGCAAAACTTGCTCTTTTACATGATCAGAACTGGCAGCTCATCAGCAAACACAGAGTATTTGGTTGGCTTCATTTATATGTTAAATAGCAAGGATTCTTCATGGATGCCTGTTTGGTCCCAGATTATTTTTTCATGTATTTCTCAAGATTTTTGTATTCATATTTGCTGTTATCCAAAGTCAAAACTCAATAACAAATCAATCAGTTAATCTGCTATATGTTACTGTACTGTACTGTAATGTAGATCAAAGGTCACCAATTAGCACAACATTAGTCACCAGTTACCATCCAAGATGGACAGATAGACGCAACATAATGTAAGAAACAGTGAATGAGTTCTGCCGATTGCTTACTCTCGTGCACAGTGAACAGAAAATGTGCTGAATGTCATGGCAACGGCACGGCGTAGAGATGCCTTTTGTGTCATCTAGTTTCTCCAATTGATCAGACTTTGACTTAGAAAATATTAAAATATCCTGAAATGCACATTGCTTTTTTTTATTTTTATTTTTTCATTTCCTAGCCAAAACATTGACTCCTGAATAAGCTACTTTATCTTGGCATGTTTGATTGTTCAAACCTTCCCTGTTGGGAAGAAAATTTGGAGGTTGGACCACTTTCAACAGTAATTGTATACTCCCATTATAAATTTTGTAGATGATGCTCTTCTTTATAGATTAGGGTATAGACCACTTAATGAATATTAGCATTTATTTTGTCATTTGTAAGTCCCAGGCGCAGGAGCCGGTGTTTATTTCTTTCACAGTCTATATTCCTTCAGCAGAAGAGCCCCAGACTGCATCACTCTGCACCAACCTGAATTCAGAGCGGTTTCAGTGAGTCAAACCATCATGTTGTGTTTGTCTGTAAGTCCAGCTCTGCATGATCTCAAAGCTTCAAAGGGTGTGGTTTCCCATTGCACAACATTTATTTCATTGTGTGCGTAATTCATTTGTGTTGCCTTTCTTGGAAAAAAGTGGTCTAAGAATGAATCGCTTAGTAATGTGAATAGGAATTCATATATTGGCATGCTTAGGCTGGTGAAGGTCTCTGTTGAATTGGTTCAAAATACACTTTCAGGTGTGATGGGTAGATGTTTATTCACATTATTTCTCCAGAATAGCTCTAGTAAGTTACATGTTCCATACAGTATGTACATATAGAGGTCATAGTCAGTGCTCCAGTGATATATTTAATCTTAGCCATTCAGGAAGTGACCTTTTAGTGGCAGATAAGCAATAGTATTTCTGTGTCAATTCACAAAAACTAAATTTGCTTGGCTTTGGTTGAGAATAAAAATAGGGAATACTGATTGTGTTTTTCACAGTAGCAAGATTGAATTGCAAAGTTGTCTTGTTTTTGCCAAACTAATTAATGTGCATCTCAGTCAAGGTGCTTTCCTGTGGCATCCTTGTGATGTACATTCAAATTAGGAACATTTTGTCTCCTTTGTTTTGTTTCGTTTCGTTTTGTGCTGATTTGTTGTTATGGGGTTTTGACTGAAGGCATTGTGACACTATATCTGTGTAATAGCATTTCAGTCAATAGCGCTCTCTATATCTGTGACTGTCAGACCAAGAGACTCGGATGATCTAGTATTAGCTCTCAGCAAACAACATTGCATTTACTTCAGGTTTCACGTTTATTTTGTTTCTTGCTTGGTTTTGTCACTGAGAAAATGAAATTCTATTTTTATTCTCAAACCCATAATTCAGCATTTGCTGCACCCTACGCAGTATAGTGAGAAATGACTGTTATTCCTGTTAAAAGCATCAAGGACGTTTCTACTCGATGAAAACTCATGAATTTATGTAACTAAGCCAAGCATAATAGATAGCATCTTTTAGATCAGTAGCTCTCAAACCATGAGACCACCTGGAGTGGTGTGTGACATGAAAATTTGCAATATAAATTTATTATAATTTTATCTTGAATCTCTTATTTTATTATTTTATTTAGTATTCAGGTATTTTAGATGCTGCTCTTGTAATTTCCTTCAGATCTGCAAGGGACAGCTGAAGGTCTTACAGCACTATGCTTTATCTTGAATACAGATAAATGGTATAGAGTTGTTCTGTTCTACTGTTCTGCACTATATTCTATATTATGCTATACACTTCATATTTCTTTTAAAGGGGTCATATGATGCTGCTAAAAAGAACATTATTTTGTGTATTTGGTGTAATGAAATGTGTTTATGCGGTTTAAGGTTAAAAAAACACATTATTTTCCACATACTGTACATTATTGTTTCTCCTCTATGCCCCGCCTTTCTGAATTTAATCATGTACCATGTATTTATTCTGTAAGGATGTTCAACCATATAGAATTAATCATGTTGAAGCTAAATGAAGTAGTTATGTTTTCTTCAGAAACCCCGCCCCTTTTCGAAGGAAACCAATTCGCGCCCATCGCCATTTTGTCTCTCGCTGTGGATGGCATCTGAGCTCTACACTGAGGTAATTAAAACTTGAAAATAAAATTCAGTTTAGAGTAGCCATTCAGTATTTGAATGTGCACATTTTCGCTCAGGTTTTATGTACTTGTCATATCAAACAACATTGTTTTAAAAGTTATGTTTGTGCTAATGCTGAAGGTAGCTAACGTTAACACTAGCTTTAGCCGCGTCTGAAAATGTAATTATAGTTTGTGTGTTCGAAATGTGTGTAATCTTTTTCTTTGTATGTCGACTAGTTTAAAATTTGCGTCAGTATGACAAACTGAACCGTGTCGTTACCGTTGTCGTGCTGCAACAGCTTGAAGCTGTCTACAATGGACGCAACAAAGCGGCCGTTGCAAAGAGCTTGAACTGCGTCAGAAATAGAACAGGGAATCCGTTAACTGTCGGGGATTTGTCGCGCCGTGCCGCGTCCAGTGTAGACGATGGGCTCATTTGAGATGCCCCTCGCCTCGCCTAAATGTAGGTGAGAGTAACGTTAGGCGGCTGCAGTCAGGGGACGAGTGAAAAAAGTGCAGCGAGACGTCCAATTCTCCAAGTGGATCAGACACATGCGATGATGCGAGTTCCAAGACGGATATCGTGTGATTCACACTCAC